ATGTATCACTTAGATACAAATATAGAACAAACTGTTGGTAATAGAATATTAATTCTACTTTGTATGCGTACAATGTTAAAGATCTGTTTAACAGCTAAACCTTTTGACTTACACTAACGTCTTCATCAGGAGCATGAAACTAAAATTAACTGTGAGTGAAGGTTATGCTCACACGTAGAAATTGGCGAAGAAATTAAAAACTCTTCTTTACAATCGCCTATTGTTTCATATTAGCACATAAAAAATGCGACTTCATCCTCAAAGAACAAAAACTCATCCGGATTGAAAGGCGTATCAAACCGTATATTAAAACTATTGCCACCTTGTCATCTTCCAATCGTTTTTACTTGTTTTAATGCGTATATTTCTACAGTGCGCACCCGTTCACACTGGCAAAAAAATAGTAATTTTTCCACGATTGTGTCTTGTAGACAAACATCTCTCTCCGTATTGTTTTCGTATATGTGTGCAGTGCGTTCATAAAATAAGGATGTCAAGTTTTATGAACAAATTTTAAACACTGTCTTTTCCTTTTAATTAGCTCAATCAGATACGCAGGTAACGATGGTCTATAAGAGTCACAGTAGCGAACAAAAGTTACATGCGATGAAGCGAGAGCAAGAAATCGTTCGTAAATTGGAAAAAATCCGTCGTATCGGCCGTGTTTTTACATAAATCCTTCCAAAACGTTAAAAAATATTGAAAAACTTTCCAGTATGTGCGTTTAACCGAGTGAACACGGTCCTTAGTTAACTTTAACGTAGATGACCAGACAGAAAGGTAGGTGACATAAACTAACTGATGAGATCGATCGTAGCATTTGAGCGTGTAGATGTAGATACAAATTTATTAACAATCTCGACAATCTCGATGGAATGTGTATCATATGACATCCAGTTATACAATGTCTTTCCCTTTTGATTTTCTAAAGAATTTGGCCAAGAAAAATGTTTTGCGTTAAAGTCACCAAATAGTGCGGTATTTTTGTTTCGATGAAAGATTTTGTCAAGAAGAGAAAACGGAATTTGCTTCAATGGAGGTGAATAACATGTGGCGTGATCATGATAGTCAGAGATAACGTGTGTGCAAATTTTACTTATTGGGTCAGACTAATTTTAGGAAAAACAATAGAGTACTCTACTTTTTATACTGCTTTGTATATTGTTGTTTGTATACGTATATAGAACGGTATTTCTCTTAAAGAACAAAATAAGGGGGGATTACTCTCGTTTTGTCCCACGCGAAAAAGATCCGAAAATGCGCTATACCTACCTATAGGGGAATTTTTAAAAAAATTTCGTCAAAACGTACTTCTAATAGGGGACGAACTTCAAGTAAGTGAGGTTATTGTTGGACTACTAGCTGGCGACAAAATCTGACGGCAACGGAAGATCACCTTTTAGAACTCGACTTACGAGACAAAACAGAAGACGAGGTGGTCTTCTATTCTGGGAGGATCGGGGATACGCATTTATTGGTATTTGGTTCCAAATGAGGTGTTCAATATTTATCAGAAGTTGATACGTCGCATATGGATGTGTCGTAGTATTAAATGTACCATCGCACTGGGATGTCTATCAGCTTGAAAATGATTTTAAAATGCCTAGGAGTTAGAAAAAAATCTAGGAAAGAAGAACAAAATCTAGGAGATCTAGGAGTTCAAAATCTAAAAAATCTAGGAGTTAGAAGACCATGGTCTTCTGTTTGGCTTTCAAGTCATATAATTGGCAGTGTTCTATTAGGGGATAGTCTTCTGTTATGAGGGGGTGGGTATCACTTTCACGTAAATCTTTGATAATAAAAACATCGTCACGAAGATCAGTACTCCACTTTCCAGTTAACGTAAGATCTGACACTGATTTTGGTATTTTTGGATAACTTTTTAATCGTTCACGATAAAATGATGAATCAGTTGATAAATATGATGGGAAAAATGATACATCATTGTGTTTTAAACTACATTTAATTAATTCTTGTTTATGAATTTGGGATATTGGTGTTGTTTCTTCTCTTGCACGTATTTTTAAATTCATCTTAATTAATTATATTAATATTGATTAGTATACAGTTGATAGAAATAAATGACTAGGTATAAAATGAGTAGAATGACAATAAATGTAAACGGGACGAAAGTGGGACAAAACGAGAGTAATCGCCCCTTTTTTTGTTCTTTAAAGAGAAATACCGTTTTATATACGTATACAAACAACAATATACAAAGCAGTATAAAAAGTAGAGTACTCTATTGTTTTTCCTAAAATTAATCTGACCCAATAAGTAAAATTTGCACACACGTAATCTGTGACTATCATGACCCAAAGAAAAAGCCGGAAAGTCATGGATGTCAAAAGGAGTTTATCTAACTAGTGGATACGAAAGAACCATAACTTTTTAACCATTAACCGCCGATACTAACAGACATGTATCTCAAAAACTAGACGCTACTTCTAAAAATTTCACGCTTTTAGTCGGAGGCAACGCACGTCTTCAGAGATATCCTCATTTTACTAGGAAGTACGGAATGCAATAAGAGCGCGGATCGGTCCCATTTCAGATCTTCTCGAAAGGCATCTAGAATGTAAGAGTATACAATTTTATGGGGTTCTACATCCTTGATTCCCTTTCGGACCTCTGGCAGAAAATCGATTAGCTTTGAACAACAGGTCCGGTAGCTCATTCCGGGGCGCTTTTAGTAATTTTCTCAGAATACAACAAGTTTGAAGGAAAGTCTTATATACCATTCGATATCAGTGAGCAGACCAGTCTCATATTAAAGAGCTCAGAAAGCTGAACCGAATGGTGAAAATCGCAAGTCTCTAGCCCCGTTAGAAAACAAATTATAGCCATTTAACCCCCGCAGCGGGAAAATGCATCTTCTGGTGGATTTGGCCTAACTCGTACATTGGATAGCCTCTTCAATTCGCCACAAAATGAGATCTCGGCCACGTTTCTACGATCTTGAGAGACCGAGTTACAGGCTGTTTAACATTACGAATATAAACTCATTCGCTTTAATGCCGAAGTTTTACCTGTGTCGTTTTTCTATAGCACTTTGACACAACATCGTAGAAACGTGGCCAAAATCTCATTTTGTGGAGAATTGAAGGGGCTATCCAATGATGTGGTCTGAAAGAAATTTTAAGGTCACCAGGCTTTTTAGAAATCTCTAACTCAGGATCCCGAGGTCTAGCATTTCTTCATCGAAATATATAGAACTCGACGCGCTCTTTCATTTGATGCCAACTTCAGGGTTCTACGTTACGGAATGTGGTCAGCAGGCGTTGTTCTTAGAAAAAAGAGGAACGCCGACTTGAAAAGGGGACAAAAAGAGCATGAATCAAAACCCATACAAATACTTTTTCCTTTCATGTTGACTGTGACGACACATTTAGATTCTTCCGTATATAGTTCACAAATTTCGTTCAAATATTGATTCAAAAGTTCTTCTTATTAGTGGAGGTTTGTTTGTCAAATCGCATGCTCTCCTATTACAGTAAACGGCCTTTTACAAGTCAGACATTTCCACGTTGATTGTAGCCAGCAGCAAGCCGAATTCCCATATGATGTCAAACAGCTCTGATACCCATTTCAGGTCTGTTTGTAATGCGTAAAGTTTAACCATAATATCTTTGATGATGAGATGTTTAAATATTCGAAATCAGCACCATGAGTTACGTTGTCTCGTCATGGTATAGATATTTTTAGAGATGGGCGAGTCATCACTTTTTCGAGTCCGAGTCAGTAGCCTTCGAGTCGAGGTCCGATTCTGAGTCGCATCAAAAATTGACTCGAGTCATTTCGAGTCATTTTCTACAGGAAAACTTCCTCCTGATTCGTTTTTCCAAGAACAGACCTTCAGTTGTCTCATGTGACGCAATGTTCTACTTAGAATATTCTCAAATCTCTCTCTCTTCTGGTACATAACAAATATAATAAACACCGTCATAACAATCCCAAGTTGCACATGGCTGACTCATAAGTGACTCGAGTCAGTTTATCGGGTCTTCAACCTCAAGTCCGAGTCAAACTCCAATGCGACTCAAGTCGACTGGGTCTCGCTCACCTCTGGATATTTCTCGAACCGGGTGAGTTCACTGTAATTTTTCACGGTATACTACATTACATTCTACTCTAGACATTAAACACACTACGTGTAACAGAACTGAAAATCATGATAGAGACTTAATGTGCCTATACGAAAGATGGTACAAATCTTTGTTTCTTTCAAAAAAGTTTCACTTCTGAGGCACTAAGCACGCACTATGTTCTGATGGATAATTTATAATAGAATTACCCTGCGTTTTCCTCAATTAGCAGCTCCCACTTCGAATATCGTGTTTTGAGTACATATTTAACATATAACTGCCTAACACAAAAGAGTGTTATTAACGAATCACCCTCATCCCCCGGTCAGAAATCTATCTCGACAACCACAACTTTGATCTATGCGAAAATTTTCGGGAATATTGGGCATGTTGAGGAATAGTTACTGCATAAGTTTGATGGCTTCATTTGTCATCGTTTAGGAGATTGTTAGGAAATATAAAATCCAATATCAACTGTGGTCATCTTTCAATACACATATGCGTCTCTTCACTCGATGGTTATTTCTCTCTCTCTTCTTCTGTTATATATATTCATTCTTCTGCTTTTGTATGACGTATGTTTTCTCTTTCTGTTCACTCTTTCCCATGGGTATTTGTCATTCCTATTCTTCTCTCTCTATGTCGTATGTCGCTCTCTCTCTCACTCTCTCTCTCTTGTACAACATGTGTTTTTCCCAGTTTTCCTAAAAGATCTTCCGGTAGCTAAAATATACTATATATATACTTGTGAATTTACTGAAATAAAGTGTGTGTAACAGTTATATTCTTCTTTGGCTATTAACCATTGGATGCAAAACGCTTCTGAAAGGAATAACCTCACAAGATGTCGCTCGAACATGGGTCAAAATGGGGCATCTGCCGTCCGGCAGATTTCTCGTCTCAGAAAATGGTTGGAGAGCTCGAACTGATTTTTAAATATAAAATGAAGTTAGAGTAATGACGTAACAGAAGCTGATTTTGGAATTTTTTTTGGTTTTATTTTCCCAAGGATTTCATTTAAAAAGTTCGAAAAAAGCGCAAAAACTGGCGTATCATTTTCAACACTATAAAATAGTGATGGTCTAAATCGAATATCGGACTGTGTTACGTTGTTTCCATATGTAGTTGCTTCAATTTAAGACCAACTCGAGCTCTCTAGCACTTAATTTGACGGAAAAATCTTCGTGACAGTCTTTATCGCGTAGGAAACAGTCGCTGTTGAGATATAGTGGCGCTAATGTACGGCACACGTTATACAGCTCTTAATAAAGCTGTCATAACTTTTGATCAAAGCATTGCTTGGTGCTGGGAGACGTCTCATTTTAGGGATAAATGTTTATTCTACGAATTGGAGTCACCATTCGCCAGCATTTCATTGAAATACCAGAAGGTTAGAAAAATCCGGTTTTTAGGTCGTTTAGATGATTTGTTCAGAAGCCTCCAAAAACCTTTGATATTGGCACAAATAGTATGGATTCTAAAATTAGGCGCCTTGGGCTCTTCAATCATGCGCTTAGTTCAATATGAACCTTTATCCAACAATTTGTATTTCTAAGCAGAGTCGGGGGTCGGGAAGGGGGCTTAAGATGACGTATAGAAACAGGCGCTACATTAGTAAAAAAGTAAGATCAAGATAAATGTTTAAAATTAACAACATTGTTACTATTAAACGGCAACAATAAAAATAAGAACTTAAGTGTAATTCCGGCTGAAACACCCTTAATTTGATTGAGCATAATTAAGGATTTATTTATAATAATTAAAAACTTTTATTATTAGAACACGAATTTTCGACCTATTTATACGGTCATTATCAAGACAAAATATAATCATACAGAGCGTTACGTTAAAGAAAAAACAAGACCAAACAGTATGTATATACAGAGAGAGAGAGAGAGGGATTGTTACTATTTTATTTCTATAATTCTCCATGTTGTTATTCTCCACTTTTCTCTTTAGTTCTTTGTGAATTTTTCTCGAATTTCGATTCTATATGGCGTGATTTTATTTC